CCGGCGGCGGGGCGGGGGGCTCGGCGCTGCCCGGCGGCCCCGGGAGGGCTCGCAGGGAGTCCGGGAGGAGGCTCTCCAGGCTCTCGTTAGCCTGCTGCCGGCGAAGCGCCACCTGCGCGGCCATCACCCGCTGCCGCTCGATGATGAGGATGCACTTCTCGCAGGTGCAGTCCTTGAAGCGACAGTAGCGCTTGTGGCCCTTCAGCCAGGACAGCACGCCGTGGTTGCGGCACCGGGCGCACTTGGGCGTCCGCTGCAGAGGAGCCCGAGGCGGCTGCGACACCGGGCCGCCCATGTAGAGGTACGGGGAGCCGTAGCCGTTCATGCCCGCGGGAGGAGCCCGGCCGGCTCCGGGGCGGAGAAGGGGGCAGCGGGGGCGGGCGGAGGTCCGGGCGGCGGAGGAGAGGCGAGGAGGCGGGAGGCTCTGCCCGCGGGCTCCGCGGGGGGCGCGGCCCCGGCCCCAGGCCGGCGGGGGTAGCCGCCGCCCGCCGCGGTGGCACCGGCGGGCAGAGCGTTGCCGCCGGCCGGAGCGACTCTGCCGCTGCCCGCGCCGCCCCGCCGAGCCCAGCGCCCCTCCGCCCACCCCCGCCCCCCGCCCGCCCCCCTCCCTCCGCCACTCTCCTTCCCCGCCGCCGCCGGGGGGGGATGGAGGAAGAGAAGGAGGGAGGAAGGGGGTTGGGGGTGGGGGGGAGGGGGGGAGGGAGGAAGGAAAGGAGGAGGGAGGCTCGGGGTGGGGGGTGGGGGGCTTTGCCCCGCCGTCGGGGGCGGTGGTGCTGCCCGTGCCGTGCCGAAGGGGCCCGTCCCCCAGCGGGCTGGGATCGGGGCTGATGACACCCGCCCACGTTCCCCGCACGGCTCGCCCCGCGAAAGCTCCCGGGGCTGGGGGCGAGCGGCGTCTGGGAGGTTTCCCCGGGCTCCGGACCGACCCCGCGGGGCCGGGATCTCACAGTCCAGACGGGGCGCTTGGAGCCCATCGAAAGCCCACGGGACACTACGGGCTGCTGCCTCAAACCCCAGCGCTGCGGGGAGTTTGGAGCCCAAAGTTTCGTCAAAGTTTTGAAGCCGCGAGAAGCTGTCCTGGAGCAGGAGCTGCCCGGGAGCGGCTGCGCGGCGCCGGGCCCACTCCCGCGTCCCCGCGGGATCGCGCCGCGGAGCCGGGCAGCTGCAGGCGGCTACCTGCCCCCGCGCTATCCGCCACCGTTCCTGCGCCCCTCGATAAGGCAGCGACTTAAATGCAAACGGTGACTATAGAAAGGCACTTGCCTTTCAGGGCAAGCCAGATCGTTTGCCACCTATTCGATGTACCCGATGCGCGGGGAGGTAATTTTCTGTATCTCCCGCCGCGGGGAGGTTTCTCGCTGAAACACGGATATTTCCGGTATGGCAGCGAGCAGTTTAAATCCAAATGTGATATATTAGTGAAAGAAGGTACAGGAATAATCGGCCATGGGGAGACAAATTCACAGCAAGCGTTTATCTGCCCGCGCAGCGGTACTTAGCGGCACAGAGTCCGCGGGTAGGCAGGCGCTGCTGCTCGGACTTGAACCCGTTTCACTGCCCCAGGATCTCCCCTGCTCCTCCCAGGCGCCTCTCCACTGTATCCGCTACACGAAATAAACCGTTTCACGAGGGTATGTAATTAGAAAATCAGATTTAAAACTCGGGAACTATTTCACTGGAGAGAGTAAAAAGCATGGCATGTGCTGTGAAGGTGTATGAGTGATATTTCACTACTTGGCTCTTTCTTAATTACTTTTTTACCTCTAGGAGACGAGTGACTCAGGGACATCTTTCTCCCCAGGGCCGTGTGCGGGGTGTGAGGGACGATGCGCGCCCCACCGGTTAACCGCACCGAGGCGGGGTGGCGAATCGGATCAGGTGCGGGGAACGGTCCGTTTTCCCACACCGCCGGTGGGATCTCCCTTTCTTTGCTGTCGGGGTGTGTAGCCGCGCAACCCCCCGTCCCGGGCACCGGCCTCCCCCGCGGGGCACCTTACACACCCGTGGGTCCCCGTCGGGGGGAGAAAAAATAAACCAGCGGTGCCTCCTCCGCGGAGCAAAGAAATACCCAACTATCCCGAAACTGCGAGGAGCGCGTAAAGGACGTTGACGCGGCCGCCCTCGGGATTCCGTTCCCCCCCAAACGAAGAAGAGGGGTGCAAGTGCGGGCGCGGGGGGGGGGGGGGGAAGAACCCTCCTTCCTCCCCCAGGAGCCGGAGAGGGGCCCGCGGGGCGCCTCCGCGGCCGCGGGCGGGCGGGCGGGCGGCTGCTGCTCCCGGGCCAGGCTGCCCCGGCGCGGCGGCGGGCTGGCTTAGGGCCGGGGGCCCCTCTCTCGCTTGGCTGCACACCGGGCGTTTAGGCTGAAATACTCGTTTGATATAATGCCGTAATCCTTTTCTCATATTTGATGGGAATGTTTTCCACGTCCTAGTATTTGACAACATCTCCCCATAGGGCCAGGTTCGTATTTATGTTAGCAAAACGTCCCCTGCCTGAACGTCTATTGTAACCCAACACCTGACAGCCCCGGTTCCCATTTCTGCTCGCAGAAAGAGTTTATTCAAGCACATAATGGGATCCCAGCAGAAATCTTTTCAGAATAAGGGGCTATGGTAAACTGCACTACATGAACTCCGTTTCCAGGGCTATTAAGCTTTTAATTGGAAAATAGCAGAGGAAATTTCAAGGTGACTACAACGTGCTAGCAGTTAGCGCCCAGAAGAATAGCCTGAAAGAGCATGAATGTGCGAAACATATGCTCCAAATAACATTTAGCGGAAAGGGCCTGGCTCCGCTGAAGGGCCAGGCTTGCCGAGAAAGAAACGCCGACGGACAGGGCAGAGGCGGGCTGCGAAGTCAAAACCGGCCCGAATCCGCTGGCGTTTCGCTACTTTTCGATGCCGGAGCCTTCTGGGGGAGGTGGCGGTGCCGCCCCTCTGCCGAGACCCGCGTCCCCGACCCACGGAAAGCGGCGGCGGCGGCCGGGCCCCACCGCGCCGCGCCGGGGTGCCCGGCACATTTCCCCGCGTACTCGGTGGGCGTGAGGGGTGTGGGTGCATCTGTGGGGAGTCTTAAGCAGTGTCTGCACTGCACATAAGCATTTGGGGAGGGGGCGTTCGCGGGAAGACGGGTTACCGTTGCGGAGGTGCGAGTGGCAGGATTAGTTCCAGTAACACCTCGGCGAAACTGCTGTTAGGCAGTTGCTCGCGTGACCGGGAAAAAACAGAGGAGCGAATTATCCACGATTTGCCACTCGGGGAGTTACTCCGGGTGGCTCTGGACGTCCGTGTTGTCACATAATGAAGAAGGAGAGGAGCACATGCCAGCCGTGCTGGGCTGCGCGGCAGAGCGTCGCGCTGGAAAG